TTTTTTTTTTTTAAAACGTTTCTAAGTCCCGTGACGCATCTTGAGTTCGATAATTACTGCGTCATTTAAAAATAAAAGTGAACAACCATGCTGGTTCGAGTTTGCAGCATCGTTTAGGAGAAAACTGGCACGCCGCTTTATTAATTTATTAAATACGAATATATGTAATTTAGTAGGCCAAATATACGATAGTACAAATATTCTTGATACGAGAATAACAATATCATTATTATCGATCGACCGATAGTCACGGTCAGATTGAGAAAAAGGAACTGTAACCGCCGTCTGATTACGCATTGACACGAATCACTTGAACGGTCTGCACAAGCACTGTGGCTCGTCCACAACTATACGATTTAAATCGTTTAACGCAGATATGTTTTCATATATTTCATTGCTTGAATCAAACATCAGAAAAAGAACTCCCGAAGGAATACGTGAAATCAATACATTTTCTTTATATTTCGTTTTCGAATTTGACTATTTGAAGTCAATGTAACGAACTTTTTTTACAAAAAAAGTAAAAAAAAGCGAATTCCTTCGAAAAGTAAAATTCAACACATCTCGAGAAATACTATAACTTTGCACAGGATGATGTACATTACTATTTTCTGAGAAACAAAAGATAATTATCTTTTCGTGGACTAAATAAATTAACAACGTTGTTAAAACCTACCATTCAGTCATAGAAAATTCATTCGCTGTGTTAAATAAAAAATATTAATTTGTATGCGGCATTTTCATTTTCAATTTCGCTTGTTAAAAATTCAAGTCTTTTGAATAGACGGTTTCGCAATTGTTCTCCACTTTCCACTGTATAGAGCCACTACTGAATATTCTTCATTATTGCAGCATACAATAAGACAGACCTCTTTGTTAAAGAAACATGAAATAGTATTTTGAAAGATATACCGCACATTCGCAAATAAATAATTTCGGTATAATCGTATTACCTGTAAAACGATGACTACAAATCAAGCAACAGAAGAAAATTTTGACATCGATCGTAGATTGAAATGCAACAGTCAGCAAGTTAGTAATGAACATCAAGCTTCTTTACTCGATTATCGATTGGTACGTTACAAGACAAAAATAGATTTAAATCTGTATTAGCATCACTCAAGTAAATTTAAATTAAATATTAATAGCAAGAAAAAAAATAAGAAACGTGTAAAATATCTCTGTCTGAAATCAACATTCATTTAACGCTAATAATTCATT